AGCGGTGGAAATTTCGATTGTGTTCGCACAGACTCACATCCGAAAGCCTCTGTATGATACTGTGAGGCGTGGCTTTTTATCTTCCTCCTCGTCTTCTTCTGCCCTTTGGTTACGCGGTCCAACCGGCTGCGATGCATCATCTTGCGGAGTCGAAAATCCCCACTCGTCAGTGTAGGGGTCGTCTGGCTGAAATTCCGGTTCTGCGTCAGGATCTGGCTTGATTCGAACATCCTGGAACGCATCGTGCGTAATGTCTTCACGCGGTTCGGTACGCCTGCGCTTGCTTGGTATGGGTGGCGGAGCCATAGACCCAATCACCGGACCTGTGAGGGCTGCCGCAGACTGATTGTCCATAGGCCCAGGGATTGGCATCGAGGGTCCAGCTTGCTCATCACCGACCTCCGCTTCGTCCCCACGTCTTCGGCGCTGCATATGTGGGAACGTCAAACGCTTGTTCTGAATGCAAAGAGATTGCAGCGGGGCAAAAAGATGAGCACAAAGGAGCCTTCTGCCTTCACCGACCGGCATGCCTTCCTCCCTTGCCAAAACTCACCTTGAGCAGAACAGCATGCCTATTGCCACCGCCAATTCCGCTTGCAGCAGCCCTCTGGAAGTAGAAAGCCATGCGAAAGTCTGGATGCTCAAAGATGTCCACCGTCTCCTTTCCACTCCATGCGCCAAGAGTGTTACCATCCAGCTTGACGTCGTAAGCCGCAGCACCGGCAAGGATGTTTGTGCTCTTGGTGCTTCCTACACTTTCTCGAAGTAGCTTCTCCATCAAAACTTCTTTCAGGTGCGCCAGCGCGATGGCAAGGATCGTCTCGCCGCGCGCCTCGCCACCCTCGGCATCTGTTCCTCCATCTGACTCCTCATCGGAATCGAGACCTCCACCTTGCCCCTGATGAGAGTTCATCCATCTCACATCCCGCGCATCCAAGAACAGGGACATCAGCAGTACCATGTATGGCGAGATGCGAAGGTAGTAGCTCTGTCTGGTCGAATACTCGTCCCGTGAGGTGCGAGGGCCTCCAGTGGCTGCACTGGATGCTGACTGCATGGCGACAGAATGTGAAGCTCGTCAGAGCTGGCTCTAAGCACCGTTCACTCATTCGCGCATTGAGTCAGACCTTCGGGGCGAAGATCCGTCTTCTCTCATGACGGGAAAGGAAGCCGGTGGTTGGGACGAAGGAGGCCTTTCTCTCGCTCACCATCGTGAACGAGCCCGCAAGGGTGGGGAGTTGATCTGCACGCGCCGCCCAGCGAAGTCGCGGAGTCGCGACCCACACTTTGACTTATAGTGACTCAGTGACTATCATATACTCACGACTCACGACTGTACCTATATGTATAGTCGACCTGCTGATGCAGCATGCAGTCGCGTGCCCCTCCACTTGCTCACGCGCGACACACACTTGAGTAACGCTCTTCGCGTCGCCTGTCCGGCGCAGCCTGCAGGCACATTATGTATCATTCAATCACAATCCATCCCAATTTTCTGAATGGTGACTTTGGAGACGCGGGGTTCAAGTTGCAAGGCAACGGTATGTACAATTCATTGCGGCCAAGGCTGGAAGCTGTGTGTACCCTCTGTGACTGTGATTGTCATCAAGCCGCTGACATGGCTGAAGTGATGAAAGAAGGGAACGTGTAGATGCTCGGCAGGGATATCTTAAGCGGTGACTATTAGGAAGCAGATGCAGAAGACTGGCGAAGCATGTACAAACGGACCTTGACTGCGAAGAACGAGCGAAGATTTGGACTCCGCGCGACAAGAAAGAGTGGCAGAGGCTCAATTGCGTAGAACCACCTCTGCACTACCCTATGACCTCTGCGAAGATGAAGCGAGGCCCGCGCGGACGGGACTAGCAGGGAGCGAGCCGCCTGCTGATTTGATGGAAGCAGGCGAGACTGGTGTCAAACGAGATTTCACGGGGCTTGCAGCGAATGAATCGCTATCTGGAAGCGGCGTGTTGGAACCAGAAATGTTGTCCGTTGCAGCCCCGCCAGTGCTCGTCGCCGAGAGGCTCGGAGTCGTGCTTCCACGCCGACTCGCAGCACGACTTGCGCTTCTGCTTTCGCGTCGTTTTTCCCGCAGATGCATAGCCTCGAGGGCTCTCAGCTCAAGGTCCCAAGGCGTTTCGCGCTTGCGAATTTCTACGATCTCAGGCTGCTCCACAACCCGAGAATTACCGTCATTGCGTCCTTGCGTTGAGCCTGGGCGAGACCTGCCTGCTGAGCGCAGACTTTGCCGCCGAGACTGCCATTCCTGCAGACTTCCATCGTACAGCGGTGAATTGACCAGGATCGGCGAGGCATACGAAGATACGTCATCTTTCGCCACGATACGTGCACACGCAGGCGTAGCTCTTGGAGGTGGCTCGCTGGCGCGGTCCTCTCGAAGTGCATTGAGGCGCGAAGAAGATCCCTTTCTGGTGACCGCTGATTCGGCGGCCTGCGCGAGAGAAGCAGCTTGATGTGGTAATAAGGCTGACAGCTCTGTGGTCGGTAAAGAAGTGTTCACTGTCGCTCTGCGCCTGTGAGAGGCCTTGCGAGGAGTGACCGCTTCGTCTATACGATCGACACGGCTGCTCGGCCGACGATTGTCCTTATTGCCCTCCTCGTCGTAAGGTCTTCGGGGTTGCAAAGCGCGGCCCACCCGACCCAAGACTTTGCTAAGGCTGCTGAGACGCCGATGCTGCTTGCTCGAAGGAGAGGCTTCCTCATCGTCGGTTTCACGTGCGTGCTCTGAGTCCGAGTCGCCCGGCAAAACGCCCAGGACTTCAGCGCTTGACGGTCGAGAAGGGCCTTTCCACAAGACTCGATGGTTGCCGGAAGGTGTGCGTTGTCGTGCCTCTTCCACATCCTGGTCTGCCTCATCCTCTGAGCTGTACACTGGATCTGCCGAGTGGCTGACCCTTTCATCTTCATTTGTACCATGTTCGCCACGTAGCGCTGCTTCGGCTCGGGCATGCATCGGATCAATCTGACCTGAAAGAGCCAGGTCATCGCCCACAGGAACGTCTGAGGTCGCTGTATCCGTTTCCATGGCTATGGCGCGAGTCGGGCTGACGGCAACAGGCATTCCCGCATACGGACTGAACGTCTGAACAGCAGTCACGCCCGCGAGAACCCGATTGTCGAGTGAAGTTTCATCGCCAACGTTGGAAGAGACGCTGTGATCATCGTCCTCTTCGGACTCCGACCGAACGAGAATCAAGGTTCCAGGGTAAAAGGCACGTGGCGGTGCCGGCATTCGGTCAACTGCAGTGGCCTCCATGGGCAAGTTGATCGCTTCCGCCGGTAATCGTCCACCAAACGGACCGTTCGGATGAATGGGAGCGTAGACGTCGCGGTCAGTCGGCGATCGCTCTGGCTTTGCTCTAGTAGATCCACGTGAGCGCGGGCGACGAAGCGAAAAGATGCTCTTTGTCGGTGAGGCAGCGCTTGGCCCAGACTCGGTGTCTGGGCTCACAGCTGGAAGTTTGCGCTGTCCATGAGTCTCTTCATGCTCGTGGGAATCGGAATTTGCAAGCCGGACAAAAGTGCCCCTGGCGACCGCCTCGCTCTCTGGAGCGCCGGGTGCTGTTCTAGGTCGCCGATGGTTGCCTGCACCGCCCCTCCCAGTAGAAGCAGCTGGCGTAGGTGGGTTGTTATCCTTTTCACTTCTTTGATGCCTCCAGCCACCGCCAAGGGCTATCTGACCTCCAAGACCATGAATGGGTCGTAGCCGCCCTGCAGGAGCCTTTGCATTGGCTATGCGCACGCTCGGCGAGAAAGAAATGCGGCGACTGCCGTTGGAGGTGACACTGCGGATACTGTTTGCTCTCGAGTGCGTCGGAGATGGCGATGTGTCTGTTTCCCGAGCGGTAGGGACCGACAACGACTCGCTACGCATGACGTGAGCGATGCGAGGATGTACTGATGCGCCCGAAGCGCTCCAAGAATGCTTGGGCGCTGGTCGCGCCGAAGTTTCGGAGGCCTAAAGGGGATTGATTGGAGACCATCTTAGCATCGGAGGCCGTGCGCATAGACTTCAATTGCAAGACTCACTGTCAATTTCCAACCATCCAAGCTGGCGCGCGGCGTCTGCAACACCTCCGTCATCTCCTCCTCTGGAAGAGTAGGGGCTTTTTCCCCGAAAGGCAGGCTGTGCATGATCTCAGCTGGTTCGTCGTGAACAAAGTCTGACGCCCGCACAGGGGCCGCCGATGGCCCCTCCACGCTGGAGTGAGACGACGTCACTGAAGCAGTCGAAATTGTTGAGCTTGAGCGCTGACTGCCCTGGCCGCTCTCTGGCACTCGCAGCCACACCCTCGAATCGAAATCTGTGCCCGCCTGCGTCTCGCGCGAGGGCGGCGCTGAGGAGCGTTGGAGCGCTTGAACGCAGTGGGAAGCATCCCTAGACAGCTTCGGAAGATTGTGGAGACTACTGCGCTGTGCCAACAACAGGTTTCTCGAATTTGACGCTCGAGCGCTGTCATCTCTGGTGCCAGTGCGGAGAACATCGGTGGTACCTGAATTGTCCGCGTGAAGCGCATTTGGCAAGGTTGCCGCGATGCTCGCCTCCACCGCGACGTGATCCACAGAGTCGCTCGCGGACGTGGAAGGTGACGTCTTTGGCCTTCTTTTGGCAGCAGCACCACCACGGGCACTAGGGATCGGCGTGGGAGCGGAGGGGCTGTCATGTGAGTGAGAAGCTTTCGTCGAGCCAGAATGGCGCGGCGTCTCGAAGCGAAATGCCGACGAAGCCAAAGGCGGTGTCGCGATACTGCTACTATCCGCACTGGGTGTGTCGGTAGCCAACGCGGGTGGATGCAAGAGGTCTTCTGGCCGTGTGGCGGGCACATCGATCTGGAGAAACTTGCGCGCTTCCACATGTTCTCCGTCTGCTTGACCCGAGGGGCTGTGTGAGTACGAAGAGGAGACTGGTGGAGATGCGTCTTCAGCGTTTAGCTTGAATGGTAGTGAAGATCCTCGGACCTCGCCAGTATTCTGACTTGGCCCCTCCCGTGTCATGCCTCGAGGGACTCGCACATCATATGAGATGGGCCCATGTTCACCTGTCCCTACGGGAGTTGGGAGTGGGGGAGCGGCTTCTATGGATTGTTGTGGCTGCGAGAAGGATGACCTCTTCGCTTTGGTTGGCGTGCGCAGGCGTGCCAGGAAGGGCATGTCCAAAGCCGTTGGGTACTTGGCTTGAGGAAGCTAGAGGCTGGTGTGCCAAGTTTCTGATGCTTCACGTCCAGCGCTCAGGCGAGGTCAATGTGGAGAAGATGTTTGCAGAGCTAGGCGCCTCTCTGAGTGCACTTGATGGAGTTGTATGGATGTGAGGTGTCGGATGATACATGACCAGGTGGTCGTGAGTGAAATAGCTACTCAATTGGTGCTCCAACCTCGAAATAGGCCGCCGGAGACGCAAAGGATCAAATTTGGATGCAGGACACCTGAAAAGGGTTGCGGGGTGCAGACAGCTGAAGCGACTAGCCTCGCCCAGGTACGTGAATGCTGTGCTCCACCGCGTACCTTGCAGTCATCACGAGCAGGTGTTCATCCTCTGCGTCCTGCCCAAGCTCCGATTGAACTCACACTTGCGCAGTCACAGCGGAGCGGGACGCATGTTGATGTCGCCTGACTCCCGTACCGGCTTCGTTGGCATGTCGGGACCGTTACGAAAACAGCAACAACACCTCTGCGGCGGAGATTACTATCACGGCTATATCAGCATACAATACCAAGAATGGCGATAAAAGGGCGGCATTCAGCAACGTACAGCGCCGATCGTCGGATATCGACTGCCGCGCAAGTGCCACAGGGAAGGGCGGTGCTGGTGCTGGTGCGGCGCATGCACGATGAGGCCAATCAAGTCCAGGAGAATGATGAGTGCACACGACGGTTGCGCAGTCACACAGTCACCGTTTGTGGGCGTTGCTGCACGGCGTTCAGGTCGGGATGATGCGCGAACGAATAAGAATCAAACACTGTGACTTGCTGAGAGTCGATCGAGAGCGACTTTGCGCCACGCGTTGTGTGAGATGTGAAAGATACTGGGCCCACGCATGCATGCGTGAAGAAGAGGCACACACGCGGCCGGAGCCTGCTGGCGCGAACTCGTCAGGATTTGCTTGTGCGCGAAGCTAGGCAAGATAATTGCGCTGCAGCCAAAATGCTTGGCGCAGCTCTCACACATATCCATGCAGCTGCTGTACTACTGCTGTACGTGACACAAAGGGCTCTTGCTGTTGCAAGACAAGGCCCATGACCAGTGTCTTGCCCAAACGACGGACGACTTACTGCTGTTAAAATTGTGAATGTAACGATGAGTCGAGCAATCGCATTCGTGATTCATGCACGCGATGCGATGACTTCTTAATTAATTGGTGTCCTGCTGCTGCTGGAACGCCTTGCTCCTCACGACTCTCACAATCCTGCTTGCAGCTGCTGGCTGGCTGGCATGCGGTGCGCGTATATACGACGACATGTCAGCAGCATCGACGTCAACTTACCATGGAGCTGTCCGCCTTCCTGGGAAGATGAACCATGACACGCGATCAGAAAGCCTGGCAGCGTGCATGCAAGGCTTGGTCCTCACATTCCGAGAGACCGCCCGCAAGCGCGTACAGTACATGCTGCTGGTTGATGCCAGTCGAATCTCTTCAGAAGTCTTGGCAAGGCGCTAAATGTGAAATCGACCGCTTCGACTCTCTGCGCGCGCGGGCATGCACCAATTCCCCTGACTCGCCACCCCACCCGCGAATTTGAATCGAATCAAATCAGATTCCATCACGAAACAACCATCACGTGAGAAAGCTGGTCAACACTCACGATTACAAGAAGTTTTTGGAGTCAAGAGTCTCTCGCAAATCTCGGATTCAGCTCTTCCCGTCGTATCACCTCTGATTGAACAGGACTCACAAGGCACACAAAGGTGCACGCAGCTCACTCTCGCGCTGCTCGTGACGAAAGATGCATTCACAAGTCTTCAATCACGATGAAGCACCGCTTGACGCTTGCAGCCGACTGTAAATTCAAGTGACGTGTTGCTGAGCGAGCACCTTAGCGCCCTGCCTGGTCAATCATCTACATGGACCTTTTTTCCTCGAGCTTGCGTAGGTCCACGTCTGTTGCACTTGCGAGCACACCGACTAGGCAAATTCGAGCTGCGAAAAGGATTCACAAAAGTCTGCAGTCCGAAAGGTGGGCCGAAAGTCGGGTCCACCTCGAGCTGCGTAGCCCCTCCTGCTGTGAGAAGTCGTTTTCGATCGGGCTGTGTTGTGTCTGCATCGCACGCTAGAGAGTGAATGTGAGAGGTGCGTATGTGGAAACGCCGCGGTAGGGGCTATGGCTCCATACTCAAGGCCGCGGGGGGAGCGGGATCCTCCATCCCGCGCGTAAGTAGACTGCAGAGCTTTTCGGCGGGAGGGCTGCGGCCAGCAGCGTGAGAGGTGCTTTGCCAGTGCTGATCGTCAAGCGAGCGACACCCCAAGTCGGATGCAGTCGACAACCGTGGCTGTTCAAAAGCCGCAAGTCTTCGCAAGCTTGTCGCCGAAAGATTAATGCAGGTTCGTAATTGTATGAGACGATGTCGATGAGGAAGTCCGGGACGGACTCCATTATTACCGCTGCGATCTCCGACGCGGCTTGTCATCACTCGCGCTCTTGCCTCGGCTTGTTCCAACGACAAGCTCATGAGATTGTGTCGCGCTGGCGCTTGATTTTTACACATCGGCATCCCAATCAAGAGGCGCAGGGCTTCGTTCATGACATCTCTCAGACCCGCAGCAAGCTCACGCAGACGCAGACGCTTTACTTCGCGGCCTGATAGATCAAACATTGCGTGCGAGATGCAAGGAGAAGTTGGAAAGAGGGAAACCAGAGTCGGAGAGGCGCGTGGTGTTCAACATGCAAATGCGAAAATGCGAGAGCGGAAGTTGTACGGAGTAGGTCCGTGCAAGAGGATGCAAAGGTTCTGGGAGTACAGAGGGAGAGTGCGGTTCTGAGAGTACGGAGGGAGAGTGCGGTTTTGGGAGTACAGAGGGAGAGTGCGGTTCTGGGAGTACGGAGGGAAAGTGCAAGGATTCGGGGTCGCAGCGGGAATAGAGACTGTGCGTGTTGGCATACCGGGACCCGTAATGGCGTAGCACAGCTAGTGTGACCAGCTGACTTTACGCCGTTCACACGTGTAATCACGAATAGCGAGTAGGCAGCCGCGCGAGTGAGTTGGGTTCATGTGGCAGGCGGTCCGTCAGGATGTGGAACCGGTACCCAATAGTAGCGGACCTCTTGACCCCTTTCCGAAGAGGACGCGCTGGGCGGCATGGTGGCTTCGATCAACACCACAGGCAATGAAGCGCAAGAAAGACCCAAGTCAGCGGTGATCACCGTCCCAGCCGATCATGGCGCAGCACGAGACTTACGAGGCGACATGTGCTCCAACATGTTTGGATAAGGTTGATGAAGCGTGCCCGCGACTTGCGTGGAGCGGCCTGGACGAAGCGAGTCGTGCTCTACCTGAGGACGTCTGTAAATGGCATTCTGTGCCGAAAACCCACAAGTTCAGCCTCAGGCAAGGCCTCCTCTCCTAAAGTCGCACGTGGACGAGCCCCAATGCTACCACCCGCATCACTTACCGCTCTCATTCGCGCCGCATAGTCGCCCTCCGGACCTGACGAGGTCTCCATAGGCATGTAGTAGCTCATAATGTTGCCTGGAGATGCGTGAGATCCGGACATAGCCGTGACTGCTGAGGCCGGAGAGGCAATGTGGTCCCAGCTTTGGGTGCCAACCGAGGCTGGCAGGCTTCGCGGAGGCGCATGAGAAGCCTGGCTGCGCACGTGCAAAGGAGGTCGGGGAAGGTCGTGGTGTAGCTGACTTGGTTGAGAGCTAGACGGCCAAGAGCTGGAAATCCCTGAACTTCTTGGGTCCCAGGGCGGCGCCCAGGGGAGATACATCTGATTGCTAGCTGACACCTGAGTCTCCTCCCGCTCATTTGGCACCCTCATAAACGCCCCACCACGGGACGGCTGCTGCAGGCCTCGGTGCGTCTCATGTCGCAGTGCGTCCGCGCGGCTGATCTCTTCGCGTTGCCTTGAGCTCCGGTTGAAGTCTTGGGCATTCATCACAGACCCTGCTGCTGTGCCTTGAAAAGCGCCGGACCCTTTGTATTGGTCCAAGTTGTCATTTGGAGCGGTGATAGGCGCCCAGTAACCTCCGCCCAAGGCTGGCTGCAAGTCAGGATCAGGTCGCGACCTTTGCACCGGAGCTGAAGGAAGAGGCCAACTTGGGCGAGTATAGTGCCCTTCGTGCGAAGGCAGTCTATCAACTCTGCCGGTATGTCCACTCCGCATTCCCTCGGTGTTAGATGCAGATCGTGCACCTACGTTGAGCGGGTGCCCAGGTGGTAGCCAGTGAGTCATGCTGGATATCGCAGGCGCAGCGCTCGTCTGCTGAGCGATGCGACTGGAGGACGACGCGGCTAGTTTGGAGGCCTTGTCGGTGGATGCTACCACAGAGGGATTGTTCATACCGATAGGCACTGGCCGGCCCTCGACCGCGTTTGCAAAAGCACGACCCGACCATTGAGGCCGCGCTGAAGAGGTCAAGGAGAAGTCCTGCGGCGATAGTGGCGCAAGTGATGCGCGCTCTGTCGCCGCATCAGCGCTTTCTGGTCTTGCTGGCGACTGAGGTTCTTGCGAAAGCCAGGCGGGTCGCGAAGATCCACTTGTGGTGTAAGCGCGATTGCGAGAGGGCGTGGCGGGGGCGACTCCAGACAGCCAATGGGATGAGGGCCCAGCCTTCGATCTGGCGTCAGCTCGCTGTTTTCCCGCTCGCTCCAGGGCACGTTTTTCCTTGAGGGCTCGCTTGCGGGCTCGCAATTTCAGGTTCTCTTCTTCTGACACCTTCGAGTACACGCATGGACGACCTATTCGGGTGCAGAGTCCGCACGAAGGTTGTTGACCGTCACATCGAACTTTGCTGCAAGCGGAGGGTGGTGAGGTGGATGTGGACGGTCGATACATGTGAGCGAGGAGTATCGGTCAGAGCGACGAGCTGGGCTTGGAACAAGACTGCGAGCCAGCGAAAGCGACGTAGACTTGCCACTCTTGCCTCTACCGCGCGTACTCACCGGCTCCGACAATGCAGACACGCTACTGGGACTCGATCTTTCTGTGCTTCGCTCTTTACAAGTGATTTGGGCCTTTGATCTGGCGAAGGAGGCAAGATGCGGGGCTGTTGGTAGTTTTCATAGATCCATGCCGCATCAGAAGAACTTGTAGGCTGAGGATACTCCACTTGCTCTGCAGATGGAAACGTAGGTGACTTTGTGATGGTCGACGTGTGCCTGGCTATGCTAGGTCCTTGCTCAGCAATAGGCGGAGCCTTGTCTGACGGCGTACTGCCCACCAAGGTACTTTGTGCCAGGTCTTGTAGCTCAGGTCCACGGGATAAAGGTGGGGGCAGAGCTGATTGAACCCACCAAGCGGTCATAATTGACCTGTCAATGCGGACATCCGCGACGAACCAAATTGGATGTGTGCCGAGAAGCTTGGTGAGTCCGAGTCGTTATTGAATGGAGTAGGCGAGATGAGACACGCAGCGTCGAAGTCGCTCGCAAAGGTGGAACACCCGACACGGGTATAAGGGCCCGCTTGAAACCAGCGTTGACAGCTTGGCCAAGCCCGACTGCTTGTTTGGTGTTTGGGAGCAAACTGTGGCGAAAGCAAGCTCGGACGTGAACCGCTTGTCCCAGCGGGCGACAACGGGCTGATCTGGAAGGGGCTCAAAGGCGGAACCACTTATAGGCGTGCTCGCGGAGCCCGATTCGCATCAATCAGAATAGCGCCGCTGGGTGCGTTATTGGCATGACAGCTGAGAGGCAAAAATAGCAGGTCTTTCGCATCTGCAAGTCATCCCGGCCGGACTTTGCAAAGCAAGGCCACGTCTTGCTGTTGCAGCTGAACGTGTCGCCGCTGGCAAGACGCGAGCGCCCAGTCTATGAGACTGGGGCACTGCTGAGTTCGAGCATACAATCAAGAAAGGACTGAATGTGATCGACAGGACCAGCTGGTACAGGAACAGAAAGTCGCGACCCTGGTGTAGCCGTGTCTAGGGCCCGAAGCGCTCCGCAAGTCAAGCGCGGCAGTAGTATCATGCCATGCTGAACTCCTGCAGAAAACCTTCTTGACCCACCGACCTCGCGGAGCCTGTCATGAGTCGTGCGTCGTGGGTGTTTCTCAGACATCGGCCCGATGGGCGAATTTGAACCCCGCTTCGCGCATAGCGGTTTGTGTCATTCAGATTGTAAGCATGGACTCACTCTTGCGTCCACGACAAAGTTCACATTTTGGATGGTAGCAAAACAGCGCAGTAGGCGGCAAGTAATTTGACGTCGGCAAGCGCCACGGGTGGCGAAGGCCACATCGCGAATGCTCGTGCGCTAGCTGTCATGAGTCCCGTGAGTCATGAGTAGCGCAGGTCCCGCGAAGGGAGATGCGCAAGTCTGGAGCTTTGAATTAGGTAGCCGAGCTCGAGATGACTGAACGGGAAGCGCGGGGTCGTTTCAAGATTGAGTCACGGAGTGCTAGCATCAGTCACGATTCTCGGCACGAATGGATGGCAGCCCACGCACCATGTCCAGGCCTGCCACGCAATGGGAAGTCCTGGATGCAGCAACAGGCCTGTTCAGCTGATGAGGAAAGGGGAGAGCGGCAGAGCAGCATGCGCCAGAGGAGAAGTCAAGCAAGCACGCGCTGCTGTTCCAGTCTTCCGTTGGAAGTCGCAGCAGGGGAGCCTTTCTGCCTTGAGGATCATGCCCGCTTCCGTCAGAGTCTTGCGGCTGTGCACTCACATCCACAGGCAATCGGTTGACGCATTTCCATGCGCATACACTGACATGCACATGCATTCAATGACTGATCACTCACCGCTCTCACACAGACTCGTCAAGAGTTAGAGTACGCAAAGATGTACCATCAGCACTTTGATCACGCGGAACAGCCGCTAAGGAGCGGGAAGCGGAGAGCCTGGACTTGCTTAACAATTTCTGGTTGGGAGCTGCAGCCGCCCTTGCTGCACAGCTGCGCATCGGGCCCGAAGCTTTGTCTAGCGTATAGACTCGTGAACGTGCCGCTCACCATTCGTACTTCACAATCCAATCGTCTCTTTGATTCGATTTCAGGCTGGATCTCCGCACCACGACTACAGGCGTAAAGAAAGAGTTTCGGCTGATCATTAGCAGCAGATCGCTCAATATCTTCCCTCGCGATCGGCAGAACCTGTCTTTGCGCGCGCAGCTGCACTACAGCAAGTAGTGGAACTTCACCGATATCAGCTCAAGTTCTGCTCGTCTGTTCTTGATTCTCCATACCCGCGATCGTTGCGAGAACACCTTTGCTTCATAGAAAGATCGACAGATAAAGTTGTCTCGTCGTGCTGCCTCTGAGCTCGTGAATGGCAAGAACCGACCTCTGAAGGAAGGGCTTCACGCGATGTAGGGTGAGAGACCCGCATGCAGCCCTCTCAGCAAAGCGATCAGAGGTACAATCCAGAGTACGAGTACCACATGACATGCTCGCTAACAAGCTTTGCCCCGCTCGCCAGCTGCAGCCCCATCGCGGCCCCAAACCCAGATGCAAATGGTTTGACAGCCTCTCTCGCCCTTGTCTATCAAACCCGCAAACAATCAAGTTAATATGATCAAGATGCATGGCAATGTGCGAGTTTCTCGACAATCGTGGATGCAGCAAGCGGTGCAACGGTGCATGCAGTACGGAACGCATCAAGCACAACCGATTCGCGACCACCTTTGGGTGGGAATCGGTTTAACTTACATTGTGATTACAAAAACAGCTGCATGGGCATCCGCCCTGCAGCCACAGACTGCAGCACCTGAGGCAAAGTGCGGCATGTCGAGAGCTGCATGGGCGTTGAGCGGATTGATCTCCTCGCTTTCCCATCATCCTTTATGCAGCGGCAACCAGTCGAGCCGAGGAGAGCGTGCAGCTAAACCCCGTGATTGTTCATGAAACCACCGAGCTCGGCCACTCGTCATGTACCGGTACACAAGGCGCGACAAGCTGTGCGGCATTGCACCACGCTGACCGTCCATCACGACGGTCGAGCTATTCAACGCCGCGTCAGTGCACACCGACAGGCGACTTTGCAATCGAGCATTGCGATTGCTGCCTCCTTGACCGTTCCGTTGGCGAGCAGGTGCGCAGGTGACGTGAGCGAGCCAACTTGCAATCTCGAACTTCCTCGCGGCACAACCTCAAGAGGCCCCGCCAAATTGGACCGTCTGATCTCCTGCGGCCCAGCCGCGGACCTACGATTCCCACTAAGAATGGTACCACTCAACTAGCAATGAGCAGTGATAGTAGTAGCAGTAGGAGTAGTAGGTAGTAGGAGTAGGGGTGGGAGGAGGAGGAGTAGTAGTGCGTCACGAGTGGGCTGAGCGCTGTGGTTCCTGAGCGCATTCGAGAACCGCAGGGGCAGCTGACGGTACGAATCTCCGTCATTCGCGCAAAATCATCCCGCGCTCCGGTGCATTACTCGGCGAATCTAGAAGAAGCTGCTTGGCATCTGATCAGTTGCGGATTCCACCTGTGCCAAAAGCCGTATCCAAGCGCACTGACGAGTCGCACATCACGACTACCGGACTCTTTGCCTCGCATCCTCTTGCACCTGAAGCCCCTAAATCCCACGAGGGCACTCCCCACTGTGGCAGCTTTGCCTGCTGCGCACCTGCTGCTTCCCCCGACATGCAGCCAACAAGCACCGATCGAGTCGGAAGATCGCAACTCAGCGGATGTACTGGCGGCTATCAGGAACGCGAGACAGTCATGAGTCTGCGAGCCCCCATTTGCTCAACTCTCGCGCATAACGCTAGCTTCACGTACGCACGATTGGGCCGAAGCGGTGTCAATCAAGCGTGGCAATGCAGCAGGAAGTAGCATTCACATTCAGATTGCATACGTCAATCGCAGAGCAGATTCACGATTGCATGCAACACACGCGTGCGCGTGCGCGTGCCGTGTTCCTGCGACGCGGCAAACATCAATCTGCTGAACCGTGAGTTCCGGCTGCTCCGCGGCTGCAAAGTTTGTCACTGATAGGCACGCACGGGGCGAGCGCACCGTACGTTCACGGTTCACGGTTCACGTTTACGTTTACAGTGCCCTATATACCATGTACCAAGTACACAGCCCCTTTAATCTCTGCTAGTGGTTGACTCTTCACTGCTGAGACTTGGAGAACCTTACCTCAAGCCGTAAAGCGTCGCGACCCACTTGTGACTGCTTCGCAGCGATGCGGCCCGGGTTTTGAATCATGGACCTTCACCACTGCAGAACTGGGAACTCTCTGCGGATTGGTACGAGCAGCAAAGGCTCAAAGGATACATAGCGAGGACTCACGACTGCAGTCAAGAGTAAATGCCATTACGCAGCGGAGTTCGATGGTCCCGTAAGCTGACAGTGCAGTCACGTCGTGGCAGTCTCAGATATGATAAGTCGCCCTCGGAGGAGTGCGTTACGATGCCGGGCTCGCTAGGCGAAGCGTCCGCATCGAGCCAGCTCATGCTAAGCGAGACGGGAAGGGAGAGGGCGACGGGCACATCTCGATTAAGCGCGTAAGGGCTGCAATATCGCCCGCATAGACCTTCGCTTGGGGATTATCGAATGCCACATCCACGCATGGAAGCCTTTCGTGAGCTCGAGGGCGTCAATACTTGGCAGCAGACTGGTTTGAGAAAGTCGCGAAGGGCCAAGCAGAGCAGAGCAGCCACCCTTCTACAGTCAAACCCCGTTGTAAGCACTACGGCTTGTAGTCACACCCCGTTGTAAGCACTACGGCTTGTAGTCACACCCCGTCTTAATCACTATATTACTGGTCCCCAAAATCCTAAGCAGGTGAATAGTCACAATTCTGCTATACTCACTGTCACACAATATGCCAGGTAACAAAAGCTTATTCCACTGGCTGCAGGTCATTTTATAATCACCTTAGTCTAGCACGTGACTGCTGGTGCGCGCAACAGTCACGTGAATCAGGTGCGCAGCCATACAGGGTGGAAAGCCAGGCCCATGTGACTGCTCTCTGTACCACGTGACTGCTGCCATAGGCACATGCCCTGCTATAGTCACCAAAAAGTGAGACCACATGCAGGGTGCTTATAACGGGGTTCGACTGTAGAAGGCAAGGGGCTGTATGCATTGAGAGCAGCACACTTGGATTCTAGCGTCAGACGACTGCGCGGAGTACAGGCGGGCTCGCTTCAATGCGCACAGTGACATAACGCTGTACGCCCGGGTACGCTCTCTCCAGGTTCTGATGTTCATTTATAGGATTCACAATTGGAGCAACGAACAGACCAGCGGTGCATAGCAAGGTCAAGTTCCGGGCGCAATGGAATTTTCCTGACCCAAGTCGATACTTGCGCAGACGATCAAGCACCCGAATTTGTGATTCCTTTCTTCGAATCGGTCGAGCGCGTGCGCAGACGGAAGACGCGCTGGCTTGGCCTGACTCGCTCCAGCCAACAAGAGGTAGCTGAGGCGACCGGGCCGTCCACCTCGATGTCTCAATTCTGCTCCCTCGTCGTTGCGAGTCTTGGAGACTAGGAACATCCGACCAAACACGAGTGGCGGAGTATCTCAACGGCATCTCCCCTTCACTATACTGAGACGGATAAGCTGGAAAGCACGAGCACCACGCCGTGGCTTGTATGATGGAGGGCAGAGTCGAGTTTTGCTGTCATTTTTCCACTTCAGCTGGTCCTTCATGCTAGATCATCAGTCTTGCGTCCTTCGACTCAGACCAGGAGCCACTCGAACTGCTCACGACTTGGTCCGAGTCACCACTCACGACTCATTCAAACCTGTGGATGAAAGGACGTTCAATCGTGAATCGTGAATGGCAAGACAGCGGATCCGAAGTCGCACCTCTTTTGAGTTCGTGCGCTTGGGGGTGCATCACGTGACTCTGCATTCTCCGACTCCGACACGAATCACACGGACCAGCATCTCTGCTATAGCGCGTCGATAGTGATTATATACTTGCACCGCTCCACGGCATTCGTCCGCAAGCATACACGCAAGACAACCATCATTCATCATCATTTATGAACCATACTCGACCAACGAGGTCCAGACACGTACGGCCGTCATCCACGCTGGACCTGCAAAGGACCAAAGGACCTAAAAGCTTGGCCACTAGCTCGCTACATCTTTCTCTGCCCGGTGGCCTCAGCTCAGCACCCGATCGACAGCACCTAACTGTCCTTGTAGGTGAGCCAGAGTAACGGCGGACCAACATCTCCCGATCATCCTGACCGCCGCGCGCCGCTTGTGATCCATCATGCAGGACTGCAAAATCACATATCGTCGCTTTCTCATCTACACGTCTTTGCAGTCTGAAGGCCAGTCATGGTGGACTCGGGAACGATTCTCTTTGCAGGTCTGCTCCTGCTACCGCCCGCCTTGATTTACCTCGTCATCAGGCCGTACCTTAAAGCAAGCTCGAGCGGCGGCAAAAAGCCCTACACTGGCAAATATGACCCTTCTACCGGATTGGGCAGAGGGGCACCAGGCTTCACGACCAATGTGGCTCGTATACCCGTGCCCGCGCACATTGTGGCTAGGATCAGGGCAGGCGAAGAAGTGAGCGCGGAGGAGATCACTGCTGCTCAGGATGAGGTGAGAAGGAAGATGGAGCGAGAGGAGAGGGAGAAGAGAGGGGAGAGCGAGGAGGAGCAAGCCAAGTCAAAAAAGGGAAAGAAGGGCAAGAGACGATGAGCAGGAGAGAGGCATTCTCAAGCACATCATCATCTTGCAGCTAGCAGTCAGCATCACGCATGACTACTAAGCACACTGGAGAGAGAGATTGTTATACACGTTAAATCGCATTTGCGGATTTGAGCATTTCTTGGTCAATGGTCAGGCATAGAATTTGTGATCACGAGGGTGGAGGAAGTGTTGCATCTGAGTTGTAAAGGCCGCGAATTCTTGATCTTGTAGGCCATCACCCTGCTTGGCGGCAGATGACAAGGCTGGCTGGCTGGCAGTCAGGCTGTATGCGGTCAATGCTTGTCGCTACAAGGCCAGGCCTGCATGGACTCGGTCACTGAGTGTGCACCTCAGAGTCGGGCTCGACATACTCGCTGTAACGGTGAGGTGGGCCACTCGAATTGTCAGTCTTGGAAGAGCAAGCGAGACGTCTTGCCCAACTGACGAGGCCATCGCAGCAGCCTCAGCTTGCTAGCAAGAGCAGGTTCTGGTGAACCGCTTGCCACGCTCTCGATGCCAAACAAGCCCGTCTGTACTGCTCCAACGAGACGAGCGCCCATTCCCCTTTCCAACTCACATTTGAGCATCGCCTCCAGCCAGACTCTTGGTGGTCAGGCCTTGAGCAAAGTTCTCGGGCATGACGGCAGCAAAGCCCCTCATGATAGGGCTATCGTAGCGCTGCTTGAGCTTGCCTCCCGCCTTTTGAACGCGCGCAATCTCTGCGTCGATTTCGGAGTCTGGAGCTCCTTGCTTGTAGATGCTAGAGGGTGTGGCAGGAAGGAAGAGCTAGCATTCAGCTTTGAGAGCACAAGACGACGCGATGCGTAGCGACAGAGCTGCACCAGCGGATCCACCTCATGTGACAGAGCGGCTTCGTTGGGCAATGACGTCGCATGCAACTCACACAATGTAAGGCTTCATCTCGTTGGAAGCAGTAGCAGTGCGATTGGTCTCGTTGATAGTGGGCTGCGCGGTGGCTGAAGGCGCAGTGGAGGTGGGTCGCTTGGGTAGTCTGCTGATGATGGTAGTCTTGACCGACTTGCACCTCTTCTTTGTAATGTCGAGATACCTCGTGATCGTCTTTGGGATCTGGAAACGGATTGACATCCTTGCAGCTCTTGATTTTGCCGATGTTGACGCTGCTTTATGTACTGTACGTGCACAACTTCTCCCTCTTCGCCTGTGCGTCCCTCCACCCGCGAGCTTAATTTGTTCAGCAGCAGCTACAGTAGGCCCCGCCGCTGCGATTGCGGGCGGTGTGGGCGGTGCGGGTGTTGCGCTGCAGCTGCTGTGCGTTCCTGCGTCGAAGTTGGCTGCTGCTGCTGCTGCTGCTGCTGCGAGTGAACGCGAGATGTGCTGCCGCCGTGCTTTGTGGTGAGAGAGTCTGAGTGAGTGATGTGGTCGAGCAAGGGACGCGGTACGTTGCGGCAAGGCAAGCTCGGTCCTTTGGAGCCGGAGTCGGTCGTGCGCTACACGTTCTGCCGCTCCACAACAACTGCTGATAGCCAGAGGCGCAAGATTGCTAATCGACTGGATGCCACCAGCCAAGGGTCGAGATTGTCACAGATCAAGGAAGAGGTCACGTACGACAATGTAGAGGTGGCTATAGACACTCTGTGTCGCTGCGGGTCCGCGGAGAGTCTCCCCTTTCAATTTGACGCGCGCGGCCAGCGGCAATGATAGGGAAAGAAGATGACGAGATGGGGTCGGTTGTTGTGGGGCCGAGGGGGGAAGTGTTGCGAATTGCGAGACGAAGTGATTTTTTGGTCTAACGCTACGCAGCGGGAAGTGGGCGTGCGGGGACGTGATAAGCGCAATCACTCGGTCACCGCGATCGTGTGAGAGTGGTGAGTCACAGTGAGTGGTGTTGTGTTATTGCCCCAGAGATTGGATGCAAAGTCTGCAACTCGTGATGGCGTGCTGGTGTGTACAATAAGCAAGCCTGGACGTGTGGATATGCTATGCTGTGACGGGCAAGTGCAAGGGGGGCAAGTCTCGGCCAAGTGTGAAGGTTTCATCGGCCTCTGGACCTTCTTTTTGGCTGTCGACTGCATGCATGCATGGGCGAGCAGACACAGACGCAGTTCGACTATACGGGACCTCGGGACGCCCCTGTGCAGAGCATTGAGCCACCTTTCTTGACCGCCATGGTTTGCACAAATGAGCCTCAGAAGACTGGTTGGCTGCGTACTTGATGCTGGTCAGGTCGCGCTGGCGCAGCCAGGTGCGTGGGTGCGACAGTCACTTCATGTCTCATTCATGATGAGCATCGATTGCGTCAGCCCGCCTCATCGTGAACACTTGCGACTTCGCATGTCGTTTGGTCACAAGTGCTGACACGGGCAGGTCAAACAAGCAGAATCTCTGACATCTGTCGCGAGTCATGATTTATACATGCAGTCGTGAGTCAAATTCTCTCGGTCACAAGTGTCCTTCCGTCGGATGCCTATCACCAGCACCGCAGGTATACCTATCGCCATAGAATGAGACGTGAGAATCTCACGCAGAAGCGTCATGGGCTGATGCTCATGCACGGATCGAGCGCTTATCCTTCGATACGTTTACCAGACATCAGCGAATCCCTGCCCCCAAGCACGTTATAGTGCACTCTGTCTCGGAACACAGATACGCGGTCGTGGCGGGCAGCTCACGCGGACCGAGCCAAGACCATGAGCAAGAGCGTCTGGATGCGGTAATGGTAAATAGCACTCGAACAGCAGAGGCGAAGCCTTAGGCGAGCAGCAGACGGTCACGAAGGCAATCGACCAGCGTGTACAAGCCACATCAAGCCATATACATCCCTTCAGCCAACGAAGTTCTGTGCGTGTGTGTGCCTCTTCTTTGGGTAGACGGAGCGTCGTGATTGTGACTCTATAGATTGGAAGGTGAAGATTCCCTTCCGTTTGTCTCATAGGAGACTCAAATGTTGATCAGAATGGTTCTGGCGGCGATGCGTGGCGTGCGGCTTTCAAAAATTAGAACCTACTTACATTTCAGCATGCACATTCGGCTCTCGACCCAACTGGGTTGTGCTTGCGACGAATTTGTTCCCGCGATTGCCGTTCAAGGCTCACAGCGATTTCCACCGGCCGATCGCCATCACACTAGCAGCCGCGTTGGAAAACGTCGAGGCTGCGCTCCGCGCGGAGCCGGGGAGCAATTTGAGTGATTTGGACATCACACCGTACGCCCTCTCACAGGTAGCTTCCACCAGTTCTTGACTGATGTCCATCGATGCAACCGGGTCCGCGGAAGCACCTCTGACAGGAGATCATCGACCGAAGCGTGAATTGTTGTGCAGGCGCCCCAGCGCGGCACCCGGACGGGGAGTCATTCGAGGCGCTGCAGTACGTCTGGCATGTGCGTGGACTGGCTCGAAGTCATGCAAGCACTGCGGCCAGATCAAATGACTACACGTGTGATGGTCGCACTACTGCTTGAGCGAGACGCTGCTCAACGCCAGAAAGGTGCAACCAATTTGGTCAGCTGGCCCTCTCGCATCGAAAGAGCCAGTCTCGTGGCATGGCTGTTGAATGTGTACGGAGAAGCAGTGACATTGATGCTAAGGCGAACGTTGTGTCGAATACAAAACGGATCTGATGAGCTAGCCCTCTGGACGCATCCTTGGACTGGAGTCATGTTGGCCGTTGAGGTTTTATTGAGCCCAAGCGATTTGGTAGCACTGGGTTGGGCTCCATCGCTTGATAGATTCGAAATGTGGCTTGCCTGTGCTGCTGAGGGCCCGCAGCAAGAGGATCGTGCGACGCTGCGCGAAAAGGGCACCCCCCACGGTTGATCCATGACCCAAGTGCTCGCCGGTCTTTGGCGCGGCAGGTGCTCGTACTGGTGGCCGCTTCTTGTGCCTTGACGCCCCATCGAGTGTAGACCGCCCTTTACACCACCGAGGGCCCGATCCCTCGCAAGCAGCGGAGCCATTCTTCGTCCAAAGCAGCAAGATTGCTTTCCACGTCATCGGCTGCAGTCTCGAGCGTCAAATTAGAGTGGTTGCGAACGTCGTCCTCCCGCACGGCCTCGACATCGATCGGGTGCAGGTGTGCATGAACATTAAGCTTCTTCGGTCCTTCCAAGACACCTTTGAGGGTGCGTACTCCGTTCAGAAGCGGGCCAGCCCCAAGTGCATCCACCCAAAGTCGCCAGGTAAAGCTCTTTAAGCGCGGCATAGCATCCGCGAATCGGATGCCTGAGATGGTCTGCACCTCGGCATCGAACAGCAAGCAGCCAGAAATGGACAAGGAGTGAAGTTTGGGGAAAGCGCCTACTCCGAGGTGCAGCGGACTGCTCCAATAGGTGGGAGGTGGACCCAGATGCAAGTACTCCCTGGCACGTCGATTGAAGGCAATACAGTGCGTCAGTAACGTTGCAACTGCGAGTGAACATGGGCGCCGTGGCGCAAATTCCAGCGGGTACACCTCACAACTTTGGCCACAGTCGACGAGAATCGCGTCCCCCGAC